AAATATATTTTATTAACAGAGAGTTTTAGTTCTAATACACATAAATTGTAAAATGGAAAAAGAGGAAACTGTGTCTTGAAATAAAAAAAGAGAGAAGGAGCAGTTTTCTGCAGTGGAACTTAGGGACATACAAAGGAATGGACTTAGAGCCACTCACAGAGTGTTAGGAGGGAACCTCTGTAAAAAGGCCCTCATTTCTGTCCAGGGCACGTCCTGTGGGACAATAATCCTGCAGTCACCTGAGACCAGGGAAGCACAAGTCAACCCTACATTAAAGTCAGAAAGGTATTGGACATTTGGTTGTGAATTCATTTTCAGGATAAGTGAATCTTAGTATGTATGTAACCTAAAACTTAGTAAAATGAATTCATGTATACATACTTAAACCTAAGAAGGAAAAAAATTCTGAAATGTATCTACTAAGTGCAGGGTTTCTAGTGGAAATAAATTTTACAAGGATTTTTTTTTACTAACGTAGTAAATGCAAACTGTAATCAGTATTTATCCTTTAAATGTGACATCTGAATTGCTTTGTTTTTAGCAAGGGGGTTTTTATATGTTTATTAATACCTCCTTCCCCAGGTTCCTTTTTCTAAGTAATGGTAATTTCCAGCTAATTTTTCTATTTGTAATTCTCCTACCCTGTGTTTTTTCAATTCCTACCTAAAGTAGTTCCCTTCTGTACTCAGGAAGTGGGTTCTGCAGAATGTGATATGCTCTTCAAAAATGCTGATGTTTCTAACACAGGCTGAATCATTATAATGACATGACATTTAAAAGGAAGTCAAATAAGCAGTAAACCCAGCATAAACATGTTCTCCTGAAACATACTGATGGAAGGTCTTAGCTTTAATACTTTTGCTATACTCTTCAGCTGTTGAATTCTTACTTAGCTAGGCAATTTTAAGCAGAGGAAAGAGCTCTGTATAGAGAGAAGGACTGCAGCTTCCTCTGAGCTTTGTTATTGATTTATTTTGTGACCTTGGATAAACCCACTAACCAATAAGAGAGAATGCACCTTCCTTATTTGTAAAATGAGAAGCTTGGATTAACACACCATATAGACTTGTTAGATCTAAGATTGAATACTGATTCTTAAAAACTACTTCATAAAAATGTCAACACTAGCACATCTAGAGCAAAACAGTGTGAACATTTAAGGGTGTACTATATTTTATATGAGTTGAAGTAAAGAAATCATGAATAGGAATAGAGAGAATGAAATGGGCTTAATGGAGTTAAGAAATTTCAGTTTTTTACTGTTAAGGAGAATGCAGGTAATGCCTTCTGAGATCCTCAAGAATGGTCAAATTATCATCTGCCCCCGATGCTTGTAGAGTTACTCAATTGATCATCAGCTATTAAGTTTCCTTCCAGTTCTACATTTAGGACATGTTGGTAGTATCTAATAAAGCTGCAGATCCAAAATGGTTAGAGACATTCTCATGCATTTTCCCAAAATAGACAAATACAAGAATGTTCTCAGCAACATGTAATAGGAAAAAAAAAAAATGGAAACAACCTAAATTTCCATGTACAGGAGAATATTGGATCATATTCACACAATGAAATACTATACATCAGTGTATAATATTGTTAATGTTGATGGATAAAGGAAAGTTGGAGAAGAATGTATACAGTGTGATAGTGTTGATCTGTTTATACAATGTTCATGCTATGTATACAATACATCCATACAGGGTTGATGCTTAACCTGTAGGCACAGCACAATCTGCCATTGTTTACAGTCCCTTAATTGATACCTTAATGGCACCTTTCCTATTGGTTGGTGCCTGTACCATTGTTCAATATCTATTGTCTCTGTGCGCATGTAAGTAAAGGTAATAAAAATGCATTGCAATATATGAAAGGAGAATTGTGATCAGGAAAGTGTGCACAGTGAACTTCTGTTTTAGTATTAATATTATTATTATTAATCTAGGAGGTACAAGGGAAATCATTTACATTGTTCTTTAGATGTTTTGTATACTTTAAATATTTCATAATAAAGTTACCATAATTTAAATAACTGTTTGTCTTTATTTAGGCTCTCCTGGGGTTTAATCTATGCTGGCTTCAACTTCATTATTTCCATACTCATTACAATTATTATAACATCCACCCAAATTATAGTCATGACTGGCTTCATGGTCATATTTACACTCTTTTTCTTATATGGCTTGTCTTTGGTAAGTTCATATGTTTATTACCACTTTCTCTGCTTTATACCTTAGCTATATAGAGCAAATATTAATGCCCTAGTAGCTTACTACAATCACTTCTTTCACATCCATTGCACGTGTGTGTGTGGGAGTATGCACTTAAAAAAGTCTCAATGGATTGAGAAAATGATGTACCCACATAAAATTGGACCTCTTTTTGGCAAAAAGGTCTGAATTAATGAACTAATTCATCAAAAAGAAAAAAGGATTTTGAGTCTAAAAAACATAAAAGACTTTTCTAGATGATTACGGAGGATGTTCTTAGGGGATGTACCCATCTTTTTTTCCCTAAGGGTGTCCATCACGTGGTAGCCAATCACAATACTTCTTCTCCCTCTAATATTCTGTCTCACACTAACTTCCCACCTCACTCCTCTCTTCCTTCTCTGAACAGCGGCCTCTAATTTCTTCCACCTTCCAGGATGTTTTCTACAGAGGGTATGCAGATACCTCTTCTTAGTCCTTTAATTTAGCTTCGTTAGATTTTTCCAACTCTGCATTTCTACCCTATCCTCAGATCTTCTTCCAGCTTTTTCCCCACCCTTTCCCCAGCAACAAAAGCCCAGCATTCAAGTAGGACAAATAAGGGTCCTCTTTAAAAAGAGGTTGAGAGGACAGAATCGTTATGCCTTATTATTTTGTCACTCTCATGGGTACATATTTATGTTATGATAAAAACATTCTTATTTTATTGTGCTACCAATGATTCTCAGTGAACTAAATATATATAACAGGTAAACATCTTCTCCCTCTTTCAGATAGCTTTAGTGTTCCTGATGAGTGTGCTGCTAAAGAAAGCTGTCCTCACCAATTTGGTTGTGTTTCTCCTTACCCTCTTTTGGGGGTGTCTGGGATTCACTGTATTATATAAACAACTTCCTTCATCTCTGGAGTGGATTTTGAGTATTTGTAGTCCCTTTGCTTTTACTGCTGGAATGATTCAGGTAAAGGCATAGTTAATTGGTTTATTATTGAAATGTCAAAAGAACTTGATAATTCCTGACCCTTCATGATCAAATTATCTCAAACTAAGAGCCTTTGTTCTAAATAATTTTTCTACTCTAAAGCTAAATTTGAAAAT